TGAAAATAGTAACAAATTAAAACTTATCAATATGCTTTTAAAGCAAGAAACTATTAAAATCTCATTTCATACAGGCACCTCCCACTGCTGTTTCATATTGCGTTAGCGCAGTTACTGCTACTAATATGACGCAAATAAAGACTTCTTTCAATGCCACTGATCACTCTTTTGATATTCTATCGAAGGAATTATATTGTTTTGTTGACAATGACTAGATGCATGATAAAGAGTTAACTATAGGTAAATTTTTATCATCTCTTATTTGCTCATTTGATTTTACGTAGGTTTATATATAATAAAGTAATAGCAGTAAAAGTTTTTCAGAATTTACCTACGGATCAGTAATAATTCTGTGTTAGTTCCTGGAGCGGAACAGCAATAGTCAAATAGCGCTTTGCGGGCGTTGTGTTGTCGGTCATTTCAACATTTAATACTTTTCTTTTGTATCAGACTCACGAATTTCCTTCGTTAAACCTTTGGATATCTGAATGAACGCGTGAAATGGATATTCTGAAAGCAGAAATAGAAAAGAAGCGCAAACGGATAGAAACTTCTAAAATTCTTGTAAGCACTTTATAGGTAGAAATTTTTCAATGTTTGCACTTTAATATGCAATTATTTTAATCATTCATCGGAAATCAGCTGTCGGATGCGTTGTATTATAACGTAAAGCTTATAAAGTTTAAGAAATTTGGTTATTTTTACTTGAAGCACTAAGGGATTTTATGTTCGTGGACTATCCAAGAAGAGGCTTATCTCTGCTTTCAGCACATGAGCATTCAATCGTAAAGCTTAAATTATAATGTGGCCAACAAGGATTAGTAGAAAGCTTTAAGCTTAGTTTATCCGTATCACCAGTGATGCATATTCTTTTACCTTTGTATTGAAAATCCTGCATATTCAAGTATAAGTTAAATCTTAGATAGGTGTTCGCACGATTCATGGCTTCGGGCACCAAACGCAACAGATGGTACAACAGTTTATTGTCGACGCGTTACGCTCAGGTACTTAGCGTTGCCCTGGCGATGCTATGGTTTATCTAGCGAAACACCGGTGGTAAACTGTTGTTTATCGTGCCTTTAACCATGAATCATTCAAGCACAGATCTATATAACTTTCGGCCCAGAATCAAAACCTGAAGTATTTTGTAAAGTTTAATCTTGCTGTCGATTACGTTTCCATTTCTTGTTTCATGGTAAACTGATACAATTGTTCGTATAGGAGCCGAACAAGAAATTCTTCCGCCGGGGAAATCTGACTGCCAAGCAAACAGAAGAATATTGGAAGAAGTTTTACGAGAAACATCAGGAACTGTTGTCGAAGAAAGAAGTGAGTTCTTGATAACTGTTGTTTAGGAAGTAAGATTAAAACAGGTTTTTTAAATTCATAGCTGTGGAAGACATGGTGGATGCAAATATCTTCTCCATAGTTGCTGTTTTTTCTGAATGTTTTATGTTCAGTTTTTCTTCCTGTCATCCGTACCTGAACGTGTTCCGGCTTCCCAGACCGGTGCTTGTGGTACCTGCACAATTTTTGCTCAGATTATCTGAGGATGATAGATAGTAACGGCGAAAATAGTTAAAGAAACGGCGGAAAATACCTCAAGGTTAATAACAAGGTGAACTGAAGAAGTTCATTGGATCAAGATGGACATGAATCGCAGAAAACATGTTTATGGCAAAGTCTTGGATAGGTATTCATCTAGCCGTGTATCGAATTAGGCTGATGATGATCACACCGATGATCCTGCCGATTAAGTACTGGTAATTACGTTGGTTAGTATTGTATATATCGAAACCTTTACTTGTTATCAGGAACCAACAAATTAGCTATTTGTTTGAGGCATTTTATGGCTTGTATGGCAATATTTTGAGAATCTGTCAACGCTCATTTTAACATGATTCACACATCTCGTTCTTCAAGATTTTTTTCATGAATTAAAACTTTGATTTTAGGACGATGAGTTGGAATCAGTGTCGAAACTAGAAATCGATCACGACGAAGCTTGCAGCGAATGCTCAATATCAGAAGTAAGATGATGTGGATGAGAGCTTAGGGCGTTTCATTGCTAGCCATTTTTAGGCTATAAGAAGACTGCGAGAGAGAAATCAACCAACTCGGTTATTTG